TCTCGAGACCTCTCCCGACCTCTCCAGCCCAGACGTTTATCATGGCGCGACCAAACTTCGTTCTGATCCTCACCGACGACATGGGCTCCGGGGACCTGCCCTGCGTGCCCGGCGGCGACCCGGCCGTCGTGTGCGGCGGCACTGCATCTTTCGGCCATCCGTACGCTCACATGCCGCACCTCGCGGCGCTGCAGCGGGACGGCGCGCGCTTCACCGCCGCGTACACGCTCGGCCTAACCTGCTCGCCGAGCCGCAACGCCTGGCTCACGGGACGGATGCCCGCCGAGATGAATGTCGGCGTCGAGGGGTTGCCGCATCCTCCGGTGAGCGAGACAGCCGTGCCTGTCGCCGCCATCCCTGCCCACGCACAGCGCCCCTCACCCGAGAAACTCCCGCCCCACGGCCCCCAGGTGAGCGAGATGCTGCGCGCCGCTGGCTACGCCACGGCCCACTTCGGAAAGTGGAACATTGGCAAGACGGCGACCGCCATCGACACCTCCAAGAACATCGCCGCCGGGACGTACGGCTTCGACGTCATCGACGAGAAGGGCTGGCCAAACGGCACGGCGCCACGCCGCTCGCGCCTCGAGGGCCGCTACTGCGTGCGAGGCGTCGACCACAGCGATCGCACTTGGTACGGCCGCGACGGGGGCTACTTCGACCTCGCCGTCTCGTGGCTATACGAGGTCGCCAGACGCCCTTCCACAGCCCCTCTGCTTCCACATGGACATGTTGAGATGATGACCGGAAATGATGTTGGGAACAGGTCGCCAAGCCGCCCTTCTACATGGATGTGTGGGCGATGACGCCGCACCGGCAGCCGCGCGCAGCGCACCCTATTCATTGCGCATCGCGTGAATGATTGATTGGTGTGCTAGGCCGGTTCCGATGTTCCCGCCAAGGAGCGAGGCGATCAACCACGTGGCTCCCCGCGCCACCAGGCCATCCCACAAGAGACGCAAAGCACACGGAGGCCTCGGGGCGAGAGAGATGGGGAGTGGGAGCGCCACCACCAGGCCGCTAGCTCACCAATTATCAAAGGGACGGAATGACGAGCCAGCCCCCCCGCCGCCCACGTGAGTGAATCGATCCATGAATGAATGGACTCACAGGCCGCGGACACGAGCCATGCCCTGGCTCGGCGACCGGTTCCGCGACCGGTTCTCCGCAGAGGGATTCGACCGGCACCTCTTCCCCGCCGGCATGCAGCGGCGTTTCGACGACCACGCAAGGCTGGGTGCGGCAGGGTACAAGGCCAAGGTGAAGCATTCTGCGCAGCCGGGCGGCAGCAAGGCGAGGGTGCTGCAGCGGTACAACACCAGCCTCGCCGACGGCATGGCGACCTACCTCGGCGAGATGTACGGGCTAGACGTGCACATCGGTGGAGGCTGACGCCCGATTTGGGATCAATGAACTCACTCGCCATGAACTATTGATCCTCGTGTACAGGTGGGGCTGACGCCCGGTGAGCTCCCAACGAAGAAGGACGTAGGACTACTTATTCTCGTAACCACTACAGGCCGCCTCCTCGCGGCGCTCGACGAGACGCGCGTCCGCGACAACACGGCCGTTATCTTCTGGCCACGGGCCTGACTCGGCGGCGGCGAAGTGATGAATAACGAGTTGGTGATCAACTAGGTCGTGCTCTTCTCGTCTGACCACGGGCCCGAGCAGACGCGAGAGAACGAGCTCGGCTCGACAGGACCGGGCCGCGGCGGCAAGCAATCGGCGTTCGAGGGCGGCATCCGTCTCCCGTACATCATCCGATGGCGCGAGAGTTAGCCGAGAGGGGACGAGACCGAGGCCCGAAGCCGCCCACCGAGGGGTAGGAAGCAGCCTTGAGGTCTACTCGCTGACTCCTCAGGCCGGGACGCACACACACACGCACACACACACACACACACACACACACACACACACACACACACACACACACACACACACACACACACACACACACACACACACACACACACACACACACACCGCTCACCCACGCGCACCGGGCCTTGCACTTTGAATGCCGTGGGGCTCCTGTCGTTGGACGTGGAGACGCGAGGGTTGCCCCCGCTT